CCAAACTCCGGTCCCGCTGCGGTTGTGCGGAACCTCGATGAAGTACTTCCGCCTCCTGAGCCCGACGTATACTTCGCCGTAGTGACAGACCGCTTCTACACCTCGGTAAAGCTTGCACTGCAGCTGTTGAGTCGCAATGTGTACACTATTGGCACCATTCAGTCGAACAAGGCTGGCTATCCGAAGGAAGTGACGACGCCTCACTCCACGCGCCCAAACGTCGTACCACGTGGATCTACAAAGATGGCTGTGATGAAAAGGGTGCCGCAGATGACAGCTCTTCTTTGGTGGGGCCGGAAACCAGTCCAGTTCCTTGCAACAGGAGGTAGCAGAGCAATAGAGCCTTGCAGTGCGTGAAGTTTTGGTCACAGCATTCTCAGGTACTAACTACTTGATTTTTGTACATGGGTGCAAATACATGTTTGCAGAGAGACGAATGCGTGGAGGAAAGAAAGTCGTCGTCCCCTGCCCATCCATGATGCGCGATTATCACCGGTGGATGGGTGGGGTCGACATACATGATCAACTCCGTCTCCAGCGGTACTCGCTGCAACTCTCGGTTGTCTTCCGGAAATATTACAAGACCATATTCCTTGGTCTGGTCGATATGGCTATCGTGAACGCGTTCATCATCTACCGAGGGGCTCGCAAGCAGCGTAACGAGTCCCCAGCAGACCATGCCATGTTTCTGCGCCACCTACGGGCGCAAATGTTGAAGCTCACGGCAAGCGACTTCGCCGATGTGGTACGAGGCAAGGAGGTGTTCATAAGATGCTAGATACTAACCGATATTGAGTATGGGATAAATTCTCTCCTCAACGCCGGCTGCGCGCTCCGAGACGTTGGCCCTCATCTCCGGTGAGCACAAGCTCACTGTGTTCCAAAATTGGAACCGCTTTGGCGACCAGAAGCAGCGCCGTAAGCGGCCGCAGCACCAGTGCAAAGTCTGCTCACTCCGAAAGGGGAAGGTTGGGGAGCGCTGTGCTAGCCGCTTCTACTATCAACCTGCACCAAAGGACAAAAACGGTAAGTATTCTTGTTATCTTATTTATATGCCAGTAAATAACCTTAGCATTGTTGTGGGCGCAGCGTGTATTTGTGTGATCGCGTCCGGCCAAACCACTACCCTGGAAACACACTCACGTGTTTTCAAATCTGACACACAAAATGGAAGAACGGGAGAGAGCGTCCACGCTCTCTCGTTGGCCGTGACATCCAGTTGCGAGGCCTGGGGAAGAAGAAGCGCCACTCAGGGGCCAATGATCCAGAGGAAAGTGAGGACGAGGAGGTTGATGACGGGACTAACCAGGAGGAAAATGAGGACGAGCAGGAGGAAGACAGGGAAATTTAGGCTGTCTTTGGTAGGAGTGTAGCTAAGAAAAATACACTCATTGCGTATCAACTGCAAAACTTTGGCGATACGACTATCTTTTGCTCAGCGATCTTCCACAAACGTGCACTTCTAATAACAAGGTCAACTTTGTTATGAAGTATATACTACATGTTGAAC